TGATGATGATGATGATGATGATGATGATGATGATGATGATGATGATGATGATGATGATGATGATGATGATGATGATGATGATGATGATGATGATGATGATGATGATGGTGGTGGTGGGAGTTAAAATCTTTCCTGCAGCCACTCGGACCGGACTGGAACACTGCCAACATGCACAAGAAGATGATCCAGAAGACGGTCAGTCAGACTGGAAAACCTCCCTCATCCTGCTCCTGCTCCTGCTCCTGCCTCTGCTCCTGCCTCCTCTCTCCCTTGTCATCGCATCCTCCACCCCCCGCACTTGGTCCCCCTCCTCGTCTTCCTCCTCTTCTAGTCTCACTTGCGGTACTTGCAGGTTCAAATCAAGACTGGCAAAATGATTGATCCCATCGCCCTCCCCACCACTAGCAAGAGCAAGAAGAATGCTCTGATGAAGGTGATGCCCTCCCAACACCAACATCTCTCTTGCTGCACCGACTTCTCCCTTCCTCTGTTCTAGTTGCCTTCCTTCCCTCTCCTCTCTCTTTCCCTCCCATTCTCCCCTCCTCTTTCACAAGTTTTCCCTCATGCTCCTCTGACTCCTCGACTCAGATCGCGTCTCGTCCTAAAGCTCCAGTAAGAGAGTAGTGTTTGTAAACTAGTCTGAGTACTCCTAGTAATATCCTTTACTCACACGGCGTCTCGCCCCGGCCCGGTCAGATCGGATCATCGGGGGACTCCCGGGCCCGGCGGCCCACTGCACCTAAGGTACCGTACGATCTCGATCGGCAGGCCCGGCCCTGCAGCCGCCGGGCGATCCCCGGTCGACACTCTCATCTCAGTGACCGTGGCACCGTTGGCCCGGCCCCGGTCGGGATGTTGCGCAAAATAGGGTTATGAGCTGCAATACACCAATCTGATAACCCCCCACCCAGTCTCTATTGATTTCACCCCTACATTTGTATACGATAATGAGGGGTGAGATATGTTATGTTGAGTACCCCGACCCCCCGTATGTGAGGCCTAGTGACCTCTAGACATGCGCGTGCGCTGTTGAGAGCAGGCGGAAGGAGGGAGGGAGGGAGGGAGGGAGGGAGGAGAGGCAAAGAGTGGGGGTGAGATAGGGGGAGGTAGGGAGGAGGAGGGGAGGTAGGGAGGAAGGTAGAGGAAGATCAGGCGAAAGGCGATGGGAGATAGGAGAGGGAGAGTGGAGCAGTATGAAGAGCAGCGGAAAGGATGGCACGCAGAATAAAGACAGAAGTGTACAAGGAACGGGACCTCAAAGCTCAAAGACAAACGACATCACTTACCATGACACTGACTTTCTTCATGCCAGCAACAATCATTGCTGGATCAGACATGGCTGAGAACAAACCTCTTCGCTTCTTGCAGGATCTTGTGCTCGGAGGTGACTTATCCTTCTTCGCTCTCGCAGGCAAGTGACGGCTCATGGTGCGCAGGGACCAGTGGCGTCATCGCCAAGACAACCTGCGCCCCGCTGGAGAGAGTCAAGATCTTGTTGCAAGTCGGGTCGCTCAATGCTGAGGGCCAGAAGTACAAGGGCATGGTCGACGCTCTCTTCAAAGTCCCCAAGGAGCAGGTAGACAGGAGCAATCCTCCTCTCCCGCCGCCATCTTCTCTTCATTCTCGCCCCATTCTTGCCTCCTTCCCTCAGACGCACGTTCACCCTCCCTCCCCCCTCCCTTCCCAGCGCTTATCCTCCCCCACCCCTCGTATCCTCGCACCTCCGACTCACGATCTTGCCAGGGAGTGCTTGCTCTGTGGAGAGGCAATCTATCCAACTGCCTGCGGTACTTCCCGACGCAGGCGATGAACTTTGCCTTCAAGGAGCGCTACCAGAAGCTCTTCGTGCGCCCCCGGGAGGAGGTAGGCTTCACCCGCTGGTTCATGGGCTACTTGGCTGCAGGAGGAGCAGCAGGGGCTACGGCGCTTACAGTGAGCTACCCCCTCGAGTTCACCTACACTCGCCTCGCTGCCGACACCGGCGTCGCCCATGGAGCGGCGGGCGCGGCAGCTGGCAAGGGTCCAGCCAGGAAGTTCAATGGGATCGCGGACTGTATGTCCAAGACGGTGAAGTCTGACGGGATCCGCGGGCTGTATCGGGGCTACGGGCCCTCAGTCGCCGGGATCATCGTGTACCGGGCCGGCTACTTCGGGCTCTACGACTTCAGTAAGGTCTACGTGATGCCCATCATGGGGGTCGGGCAGGGGGCAAACGCGCACTCGGTCGGAGCAGTGGTCACCAAGTTCGGCATGGCGCTAACTATCGACATCTTCTCTGCCCTGTGCGCGTACCCGCTGGATACCATCCGTCGCAACATGATGATGATGAGCGGGAGGAGCGACAAACTGTACACCACGTCATGGGGTTGCCTGCAGCACACGCTGAAGCAAGGAGGAGTGGCTCTGCTGTACAAGGGCGCGTTCGCCAACTCCGTGAGGGCGATAGGAAGCGCTCTTGTGCTGGTGATCTATGACGAGCTGAAGAGCGTCTTCCTCCCCAATGCCAAGAGTTCCGGGGGCCACTGATATATTCTTACTCTTGCGGGAGGAAGAGGAGGAGGAGAGTAGGAGGAGCGAGAGGAGGACGGGGAGGGGGAGCGGGAGGGAGAATAACAGGCGGTGTGCTGAGGGGATGGGGAGGGTTGTAAAGTTATACAAGAGAGTCTTAATCCCATGATGAGTCTCCTCCCATCCCTACTTCCTCCGTCTTGGTCAAAAAGTCTTGACGAGCTTCTAGGTCAACAAACTTCTTCTTGCTCGCCTTTGCTGGCTCTGCCTTGGCAACCTGTGAAAGAGTCGATGAGAATGGATGGAGAGAAAAGGAGAGGCAAAGGGAAACACAAAGAGGCTGAGACAAGAGAAGCGGAAGCGATAGTTGGAAGGGAGAGGAAGACGACGAGTTTGACGAGAACAAGGGGAAGTGAAGCTCGTCAGGGAGTTGTCCTCACCTTAGCAGCCCCTTGGAATGTTTTGATCTCGACGACGCCTGAGTGTTGGCTGTCGTTTGTGTTCCCTCCCTCATTCCTCTCTGCAGCACATGTCAAGATGAACAAGAGAGATATCGCGAAAAGAATCACCCGCCATCTCCTCCTCGTTCTTCTCCCCGGGTTTGTCTTGCCCCTTGTGCGCCTTTGGGTTCTCCCAGCCATCCCCCAGCTCCTTTACCTCCTTGCCCTCCTTGCTCGTCGTCTTCTGCTTCTTCTGCAGAACGAGATCGAAGGGGTTCTTCTCCTTGCTCTGGCTCGTCATCGTGTCGTGATCTCGTTTCTTTTGCCTGCCCTTGCTCCCCTCCTGCTCCTCGGCTTCCTCCTCAGGTTTGGACGGACGCTTCCTCTTCTTCTCGCTCCTCGTCTCCGACTTGGCATCGCCAGCTTTTGTAGGTTGTTTCCCTTTCGAACTCTCCTTGCGCTGCTCTGCTTTTCCACCCTTCTTGCTAGCCTTCTCCGTCTTATCAGCCTCCACTTCCTCCTCTTTCCCCTCCTCCTCCTCCTCCTCCTCCTTCGTCTCGCTCTGTTCCTTCCCCTTTCACAGCAATCAGGGATCAGGTCCGGAGTGGAATCTGCGAACCTTTTTCGAGCGATTGGGGTCATGGTTCTTTCTCACTCGCTTCTTCTTAGATTCATCTTCTATCACCTTCACGCCGGCGTCAATCGACATCTCACTGACAGCGCGTCACTCACTTTCTTCCCGTCAAAAATTACAAGGTCCGGCAAGCACTTCAATGCCTTTTCTCTGTATCCCTCCTGGGAACACAACCTTGTGTTTCCTGCAAACATGACAGTCAGACGAGAATAAAATTGAAAGGTGGGAGCGGGACAAGAGAGGGAGGGGGGAAGGGAGGGAGGGAGGGAGGGAGGGAGGGAGGGAGGGAGGGAGGGAGGGAGGGAGGGAAGGAAGAGAAGGGTGAGTGTTAGAAAGAGAGATAAGATTTCTACCAAGAAGGTTGAGATTGATTATCTTTCTACATTGTCCTAGCCTGAAAAGATCGCCAATGTCGTACAGACGATTCTTTCCCTGAGGTTGGCCCAGCATCAGCGAGTTGACAACATGGGAGACAGTCAACCAGGTCCATCAACTTGAGACAAGGGTTGCGGTCGATGGTTTCCGGGACTCGTTGGATCTTGTTGTCATTCAGACGCAACTGCAGAGACGATGAGCTCGGAACAAAGAGAGGGAGTGCTGCGAGGCAATCGAGAGAAGTCAAGAAAGTGAGTGAGGTGCAGTCATGTTGTAGCGCATCAGTCGTTCGATCACGAGTGCCAGCCCCATCATGGAAGGAAGATCGCTGGGATACCTCTTCAAGCAGCGGGTGATGCCGCATGTCTGGGATTACTCTGATCTGGTTGTGCGCAAGCGAGAGCTTCTTGAGGTTCTTCAGGCCCGAGATCCCATCGATCTCGCTGATCAGATTGTGCGAAAGAACGAGAGTGGTGACGTTGACCAAACCTTCACCACAGCATCAACCAGCCTCCACCCATCCTTCACGTCCGTCATCTACCTGAAAGACCGGAGAACGAAGAGACCCTGTTGTTGTTGGCGATCAGGGCCTTGAGTTTGTTCATCGAGGCGATGGGATCCAATATCTCGATCATGTTGCTAGACAGCGTAAGAACGTCCATCTTCCTCATCCTACGGATGGGAGTGAGGTCTGTCACTTTGTTGTCCTTCAAAGACAGCCAGTTGATCTCCTTGCAGTCCGATATCTCTTTCAAGGATGAGATCGCGTTATCTGTAAGGTCCAGTCTCTTTAGGTTGGTGCAGCTTGAGAGATCAGGTAGCTCGGAGATTCCCATCTTGGACAAGTTCAAGAAGTCTGCCTCAGTAGGGTCTCCTTGCATTCTCTGTGCTATCTGAGCCATGGAGATGGGAGAGCCCTGTTTCTCTTCTGCCTCTGCCTCTTCCTTCTTCTCCTCCTTCTCCTTCTCCCCTTCGCCCTGTTTCTCCTGGTCATTTTCAGCCTTGTCGTCATGATTTTTCGGCTTTCGGAATTTCTTGGGGATTAGAGGAGTCTTGTCATCAAAACTACCTGTTTGCTTGTATATGTGAAACTTGACCTTGTCCATGGAGCTTTTTGGGGCGCTGTCGATTTTCGGACTTTTCTTGCTCTTGCCCGCATGGTTCTTGTTGTTGTTGTTGTTGTTGTTGTTGTTGTTGTTGTTGTTCGTTTTCATCTTGTTGTTGTTATGTTTACCTTCTGATGCACCAGTGTGCCTTCTTTCCTTCTCTTCTTCTCCTCTTCGCCTCCCTTCCTCCCCTTTTCCTCCCTCCTTCGTCATCCCGAAGCTCTTTCTCATACTACACGTGCAATTGCAAGAGCGGGGATGAGGATCTGACACCGCCCGGCCGGGCCCAGGGACTCCCCGGTCACCGGTGCCAAAGTTTTCCCGGCAGCACTCAGCCTGGTAAGTCACGGTGCGCCGCGGCCGGTATTGAGACGGTACACGGTATGGCGGCCCGGCCACAGTGCCCGCGGGAGTCCAGGCTCAGGCTACTGAGTGACCTATGGCATGGTCAAGATCAACTGACTGAGTCAGTCACGGTGGCAGTCACCGGACTCCGGACTCGGAGTCCCTGACGGTCCCGGTTGCCGGCCGGGCCTGCCCGGCCCGGGGCAGCTGCCGCCGGCAGTGCGGACCCGGCGGGCCGTGCCGCGGGGCAAATTCCGAGCTACTAGGCTATTAGAGTCGAGTCGGGGGAATGGTCCTGCGACCGTACAGCGCGCAGTTTTAAGTGAAGGTCACGGTATCTTTTCTTTACTCAAAGTTAAGTTAAAAATCAGTACGAGGACAATCAGGAGAGTCGAGGAGGCTTGACCCTGACACTGTCGCACAGGCCAAACGGCGAGAAGAGAAAAGACAGCGAGAACCAAACCTATTCCTGCCGACTGCTGTCCCCCAAACTTAAAACTGTATCAGTTTAAGTTTGGGGGACAGCAGTTGGCAGGATTAACTTAACTTTGATTATTAAAGAAGTTCGGACTCCGGAAGGAATCAGCAAAAAAGAAACAATGTTATAAAATTTCAAATTTACACTATGAGGTCCAAAATTTCAAAATTCAAACCCTCGGCACCATGGCAAAATGCACTTCAGGACACTGACGTTGTGAGGGACGACGGAAATGGCGTGAAGAAGAGGAGGATGAGAGAGTTGAGGTCTCGGGGGATCAAGAAGATCAAGAGGTCTCACAAGAAGAACTATCTTACCAGAGGCAGAAGGTTGAAGATCTTGTACAAGCACGACAGCATTGTTCTCCCGGCAGACCACGACGTCTCCATCCAGGAATTCCTCGCGTCGAAGCACCATGAATCAGCCCTTGTGTTGGTGGATGATGGTAGTCGATTCATCGCGACTCCGCACCAGAAGCGCCACCTTGAAGTCATCCTAGAGTGTATCGCTGGTGATTTCTCCGACCTGCCGAGTTCTCCGCCTCCTGCCCCCATCAAGATCCTCGTCTCCCGAGCTCATCAGGCTGGCCCATGCCCGATGCTGCAGCCTGAGTTCAGCATACCTGACAGTGACAGGCGGTCGCTGCTTGCAAGCTCAGCAGTCGCCTGTGCCTCAACAGAGGAAGCCAAGTGCTTGAAGGACGTCTTGATCTTCAGCCTCCTTGCTGCAGGATTCTCTACAGGGGCGGTTCTGATCAGTTTGTATGTGAACGGAGGTGACAGGCTGGTCATACTCCTCGGCGTCTTGATCCTTTTACTCTCCTGTATGCTATTCTTTCAGACTCAAGTTTTGTCAAGATTCCTCCCTTTGGGGCGTTGCCACGTTTTTTCATCAGTTCCTCTCCAGCACAAGGGGAAGTTGGGCCGTGTGGCTTGTCAGGAGCTAGAGGTGGTATAGCCCCTTCGTTGTAGCTGCAATCATTGTTTCCCCGACGCCTTTGTTAAAACTTGTGCACAGATAGAATGTCGCCCTCAGTTCTCTTTGTTCAACTTGATTTTGACTATGTTCTTGCCTCCCTGGAACGAACTTCATTTCTCACACTGCCCCCACAAACGTCAACCCAAACCTGGAATGGAATCCTCTCAGTGAATTCCTGCGCATCCACGTCCATGTCTTGATCTCCCTCTCTCAAGAGCTCCCACGGGCAAACCTACATGGCCCCATGACTCAACGCACGTTGGCGTTGAAAAGCCACTTACCTGCATCTCTTCTCCATCATCCCACTGGACAGTGATGGAGTTCCAAACGTCTTCGTCCTCTCCCACGTGCTGAAGCCACGTCACCAACAACAATCGCCTGATCACATGCCCACCTGTGAGAGGAAAGTGCCAAGGTAGTAGTGCCCACCCGTCTGGTCCTCGTTTGAAAACCACATCTTGACCTTCTCTCCTTCTTTCCATGGTCTCAAACTCCTATGACTGTGTCAGACAGGCGACCAGGAGCGTGGGGAAACCTCTGAAAGACCCGCGCGTCCACCAGCAGCTCAGGTAGCGAATGCCCGCAATGCAGAGTCAGGTGGAAGACCTCACCCTCGGGGGGTTGGCCCTCTAACGTTTCGTCTTCGGTCTCAAGGGATCGCAACGTTATGACGGCAAAAGGCCATTCGTCTTTGTCTTTCCCTTCGAAGTACTTAACATCTTCCACCTGAGATTCCGGCTGAGGGGAGGACAGGAGAAACAGAATAAGGACCTGACAGCGTTCTACTTTCTTAGGCCTCAAATCTTCATCCCATGCATTCTTGCCATACTTCTGTATATGCTCCTCATGCCCGTTTCTCACATAGCTGGTTTGTTTGGTAAGAGCTCCACTTAACCCTCGAGGATATCGACTTACTAGACTTCCTGTAACGGCGACGGGCAAAAGATTTTCCCCTTGCGCTGTCGTTGCCATGAGCTCTTATTCAACTCCCTGAAACGGAATCATTCTTGCGAGCAAGGATAAAACGCTCTAAACCTGGTAGAGAAGGTCAAGATAAGATCCAGCCCGAAATCCCGAAAATAATGCATCTGTGCAAAACAGAACAAGTCAATTGACAGCAATGAAGAGGCTATTTCACCTGTAAACTGAGAACTGCAGATGTCATGGCCGAATTCACACTTTCTCGAAACCCAGGCCTTCTCTTATCCCGCCAATGTGTTGAGAATGCCCCACGTTCAAGAAGAATTTCCTCAGCGTCAAGCAGGAATTTCTTGGCAACAGACACACACTTTTCCTCGTACTTCTGCTTGTCACCTTTGTCACAGCCCATGATTTTGTCAAGATTCCTTGCGCATTTCAGCAGAGTTCGATGCTGTGGGATTGACATGATACTTCTCCTCACATCGAAGACTTGTTCGACCATGAGATCACAGAAAGTTTTTGCATGATCCGTTCCATTCATGCTTGATTTCTGCCATTCAGCCACAATTGAGTCTTTGCTCATGCCCTTGAAAAGCTCCCTGTTAGCCTGGCAGGGCTTGTTACAACTCAAAAGCGTTGAACCAAGATCCCCTCACCTGAATCCAATCCTGCAAATTCTTTTCTGATTGAATCTGTTCAAGTCAATAATCTCATGTCATGTCAATGCAAGTCTACCTTAGGATCCATGCAATCGGACAACTTTCCCAGTTCTTCCAAGGAGTGATAAAAGCTGATCCTTCCGAACCCCAAATTTTCCAAGAAGGAAGCACCTTCTGTTATCTCTGCCACCAACTTCTTGCGGTCCCAAAAGTACTCTCGCCCGAATCTATCTGCTCCAATTGGGTCCCTCCTGATTCGAGATGCTTGCATCCTCTCAGAGTTGAATCGAATCTCTGAAGCAACCGTCAATCGCATCCTTGGAACAACTTTCACAAACCTGTCCAATCGATGGATCCATTTCTAGCCGCCTTGAGGCAATCTTCAAAGGTCGTTTCCAGGTGATCGGCTGCCTTCGTTACAGGAGCCCCCTTCCCGTGATAGAGCCTTGCATTGGACCAAACCTGTCGAATATCCCGCATTGCAGACCCGTGCGATTCATACTCGTTAGCGAGTATCTTGTTGAGAACAGTCCCCAGGTCCATGGGGACTTTCACCACGTTGAGGTAATCTTTCAGCCCCGCCCTGTCTGGCTCGACAGGGCATGAAAACCATCCGTAATACCTCGCATCCTCGACGAGGACAATGTTGAGGGCGAAGAGGAGCATTCTCATCTCCGGTGACATGAGCTCTATCTGCTTCATGTCCTGCATCCCTTGCAGACGCTCGAGCAGCTTGCTGGCTGTTATGCGTCTCTCAATCTCGTCTCTGATCGTAGAGCCCTCAAGCTCAGAAACAGTCGTGCAAAGCCAATTGAGCGCTCGCCATCGCATGAGCACCGGCATCGTAGAATAACAAGACTTCCCCAAATGATCGACGATTTCCATCTCTTCCCTGAGAATGCTGGAACAGAATTGCAAGCAGAGCTTGGAATCAGCCTGTTCCTCAAAGATCTCAGATTCAGCTGCTGTTTGCACATCATCACTGTTCCCGTCTCCGTCCGATTTATCATCTGCTACAGACTCGTTCTCTGTGCTCTGGAAAGATATTGTTTCTCCATTTTCTCGACGTTCTTGCAAAATCGCCTGAGCGCGTCTCAGCAGAATATCTTCCATGATAATGCGCAAGTGTTCGGGCCAAGTAGCAGAATTAACAACCGGGCTATAGTTCTGTCTAGGAAAATGGCTTTCTACCAGCAATGATATCAATCCAATGTGGAGTTTTTCTACGAGGGATGATGGCATTTCAGATTTCATCCCTTCAATGAGTTTGATGGGAAGAACAGTCGAAGGCATCTCTGTCGATTGAAAGAGCGCTGAGCTGAATGTTTCATAGAAATTCAAGACTATGCGACACAAATTGACGACCTCAAAATCAAGATTTTCATACATCGGTGTTCCTGTTGGCAAGGCGTTTAGATCGACAACCTTCCCTATGACACTTTCCAATGTGCTTTTGATCTCTTTGTCAATGAACGATTCTTTCTGAAACGATCTCTTCTTCTCCCGGAGATCGTTCAACTCTGTTTGCAAGCACATGCTCGAGACAGCAGTGCACACCTGCATCATCTCTCCTTCTTCAAGTTTGACCTCATGATGTTCTTTGTATTTCTCAAACAGGTCTGCTCCATGCACATCCGAAGCTTCATCGTCCATTCCCTTCATGATCTTCCATAGTTTCGCTTTTGGATTCAAATCAATCAAATCGTCCACGCAGAGGGAGAGATAAGCAGCATCATTCATCAAAAGGGCACGCAGCTGCTTTTCCTTGAATCTTTGCTTGCTTCCTGAGGAGCCCGGAAGAATCATGAATGATTCAGCTTTCTTCAAGACTGCACTGATGGTTCGATCGTATGCCGCTTTAGCGTTCTTGAGAAGGAGGTTCTTGAGCAGATCGCCAGTCTTGACACGAACAAGTGCTTTTTGGAAAGTTTCTCGATAAGGACTCAAGGGTTCTTCCAGCTTGTACCAGGCGAATGCACCTCTTATCCATAGACATGACTTCTGGTTGAGCTCAGGAAAGTACTGGAGAAAGATCTCCTTGATTGGAATAGCTACCGTCTTGTCTTCCTCCTTGGATTTTGATTCCATCCCAGGTCGCTGCAGAACCCCAACAAGAAACGATGAGGGCTCGGTGCTGTGCTCTTCTGGTGAGATCACCTTTCCCGTCTCAGAGATGACAAAAAAATGAGTGATGTGCCTCTGCGCCAGCTCAATGTTGGATGGGGGACCAACTCCATCCCCTGGTGATCCTACTCCACATCCCCGACCAATCACATGCTGCGAGCTTGCAAGGATTTCACTCCCTTCCTGTCCGTTGAGAACGACAGTCATCTGCGAAGCTCCTTCTTCCGATTCAATCTTCGCAAACTGTAAAGAAAGAAACAAGGGTATCAGAGGATTGGGAATATTCGCAACTAAGGGCAAAAACATATCTGTTTGCAAATCAATTGTCACCTGTTGTTTCCAATATGCAAGGAGGCTTGAAGCACATTGGTGGACATCGGAGCTTGAAGGATTGTAAACCTGCATCGCTTGCTTACTCCCACAAATCAAGGGCGGGCGTCCTGATTGAGACCATCGCATTCGAGAAGACGAGCTCCACGTCCTCGTCGATCTGAAGAAAGGTTATCCACTGACATGTCAAAATGATACATCTGAATGACCTGCTTGTATGGAGGCAAGTGACTTGCACTTCTTTCATATAGACCCTCCTCAATCCAACTCTGTCTCGAAAGGTTCTCGTCAGCTTGAACAGATTGCGAGCATTCGACTTGTTGGATCCGACCTGTATTGTCCCGAAATCCATGGGTCGATCGATGACATCAAAGTAATCTGGAAGGTCTAGCTCCTCAGGATCAACCTAAACACCATAATTAATCGATTTTCATTCTCTCATTCTTCCATGATGTCACAGGATCGCAGAAGTAGAGTCCTCCTTTTCTCTTCATCATCGTTTTCAGAAGAGTGAGGCACTTCTTCAGTGCACCTGCACCAGCATCTTTACATCGTGGAGCAAAGGACTCATAGCACACCACTGGGCTTGACAGTCGACTGTTTCAAAGCATCCCAAAACACTTCTTGTCTATCAAGGTTGTCAGTCAGAACACCCCTACATACCACATGTCGATGGAGGCATCACCTGTAATTGAACACTTGACCCCCAGGCTCTTCTGCTGACGTAGACCAGACAGTAGGGAGATCTGAAGAACCCCGTCAAGCTGCCCTTCAATTTCATGTCGCCACCGCCATCTACCTCGATAATGCTGCTCCCTTGCTTTCTTCTTTGGCGGGCTCGGGAAAGCGGCCGGGAGATCAATGGAAGCCCGCTTTTTCCTTGGCATTCTGCCTCAAGCATTCGCATCAGAGCACCATCACGGGCATGAGACAACTTTCATGTTGACAGCAGTAAAACCTAAAGAAGAACTCTCCCCCTGTCCCTGTCCTGGGCCATAGGGGAACTGCAGCTTCATTTGTTGCCACACAACTCTCTCCCCTCCTTCATCTTGCCACTGTCACCTTGTCTCTTCTTTCTCTCTGCACCCCTCCGCTGCCATCAGCCCTTGTTAGCTCAGGCCTCATTGCGCCTTTCTCCTCTACGCCATGAGGCATTTTCCTATCCCCTCTCTACGATGCATTTTCCCGCCACCTGCGAAGTACCCTCATCCCCCAACGTAATACTCATCCCCCTCACTCTCAGCAACGCCTTGCCCATATCAGGGCCCTCATCCCCTCTCATTCTTGCTCTGGGCCCACCTCAGCTGATATCATCACCCTCATACCCATCTTCGTTGTGACCATGCCGAAACGAGCACCACAATGTACCCTCATCCCCCAACCGCCCCTCGAGAACTCAGCTTCAGTTTTTTTTTTGACCAGGTGCAATCTAGGGATATGGCTCGATCGAAAATAGAGCTTTTTGAACACAATGGTTGAAAGTACCGTCCTCTATGAAGCCCAAAAAGAGAGTTTTTCGTTTCAGATGCTGACAGGATATGCCGAATCGTGGCGTTCTTCGATATGCTGACACCATCAGAAATAGGTACCCTCCCGGCCCCGTGTATCTGCCTTCGGGGACACCGAGGCTGCCTGGGTATCTCAGGTACCCTTACAAGAGATTTACTATGTGCGAACCTAGTTTCAAATAACGAGGGGTACCACCCTGGCCCCATTTCATCTTGATTACTTAAGTGGTGCCTTCCGACCCCGTCTTCCTCCCTCCCCCTGCACTGATATTAGAACCATTTTGCGCTATCTTCCCCCTTCAACAGCATCTGCAACTGACTGACTGTAAGGCCTAAGGTAGCCTGATCTCGAACAAACCATCATGGTGGAGGCTCACAGCGAAGCCGAAGCCTCAGAGTCATCAAGTTCCATCCATGAATCTGGTTTCAATGAACAATATACAACAAGAGTTGGCCCACAATTATTAGACGACGACAAATTGAAGGATTGCACCTTGACAGTCTCTCGTGAATACCCATTCCGGATTGTTGACGTGAGTGAGAGTTGGCTGAAGATGTTCAATTGGACATCTTCCGAGCTGGTGATAGGAAGGGGGTGTAGTTTGATGTACGGGCCGCAGACAGACCTCCTCAAGATGCATGAGATCATATGCGGAGCCTCAGACAAGAAGAGGCCCGGCGTTCAGTTCGCTTCGTTGTACAAGAGCGATAGCTCGCAGCTCTTTGCACACATCAAAGCAAAGCAAATGACAACAGGCGATGGAAAATTTTCGGTTTTGTACATGATGAGATGCGACACTATGCACATGTACCAAGCCGTGTCTCACGCCGATGTACCAAAGGCAGTCATCACCGCCTCGAAACCTGGTCGACTGGTATTCGTCAATGACCAGTTCGTCTCAACTTTTGGATTCAGCAAGAAGCAAGCTGAGCGGAGTTCGATCAGGATGATACAAGGGCCAAGGACCAATCCAGGAACATGGAAAAATATCTTCAAAAGGATTCAAACGGGATTTGAGCACGAAGATTGGGTCATGGTATACTCAAGCGATTGCAGAGAAATCATGTGTCATATTCACGCATACCCTGTTGTTGACGGGATAGGCAGGGCTTCGTGTGTTATGGTGATGTTTGAAGTTTGTTCTGATTCGAATCCTTTTCCGATAGACCAGGACAGCGCCATTCACTTCAGACGGTCTGAAATAGCTTCGTCTTCTATATCATCGGCTTCCGAAGACTCCAAGAGATCCAACTGTATGATAGGCGAGTGTTCAAATATTTCAAGCTCGAAATCGCCAATAGCGTTGTCGGATTTTGAGACGGAGCGCGAGCGACAAAAAGTCAGAGCTATCTACAACAGAACCATTGGGGTGCAACTACAAGAGGAAGTCAAGAAGATGCCCCGAACACGGAAACTTCTCTACGACTCAGGAGATTGCTGCAGGAGGAGGGGTGTATGCGATAGCATGACATCGCTCAAGAAGCGGAAACTGAAGTCATGGATTCAGAAACGTAGATCGCTGCAACTTCATGTTGGGTACAAACCTGATATGGGCTCTTTGAATACCTTTGATGACGGTCAAAATCATGTCATGGATGACGGCAAATGCATCTTTGCATTGATTCTCGAGTTTTTGTGGATGATCTACAGGTTGATCGCAAGTGCTTTGGGGATTCCCATCAGAGAGGATGAGGATGACGATATGCCACATTACAATGAGTGTCAGACCAAGAGAGTGTTTGAGAATTGGATCCATCTCGGGTAACGTGATGGTGACAAGGTGCTTTTTAGGTTGTAGAATTGCTCAAATTATACATAGTTTCGTGGTTGCTAGGATGTTGATTGTAAGTATGAGAGGCAATAGCGATTCACTGGCTTCATTGTTGATTTAATGAATATGGAAAATCACTTCGTTGCAAGGGGTTGCATGTTACAAGCAGCAGTGTCTGATGAGTTGAACTAGGCAGCGAATCGCATCCCGAGAGTGACATTCCATTGTCCCTGCTGTCCTTCTCAAATTGCTTCTCAACCTCTGAGGCAGACCTATATCAGGTTTGCTCGAATTTCTTTCCATGGCAGAGTTCTCCCAAGGCGTACACTGAAAGAGCCTTGTTGTTCCCAACACCCACTTTTCTCCGCTCTCTCCCTCCCCTTTCTTTCCCCTTCCTCTTGTCTCCACTCTCCTTTCACCCCCTTCCTCTCTCCCACCTTGCCGCAGCTTCCGAATCTCTGGGTTCCATCTCTTTTTCATTGTGTCTCACGTGCCCCGAGCGCATGCAGCCACCTCAACAAGGGAATGGTCATCGTCATGCAAACTTCGGCATCCACTTCTCCTTGAACAACAACCTGAGAGCTACAAGAGAGCGAGGGGGTTGGCGGCTGTTGGTCGTGGCTGTCGTCGTTTATAGCCTCCATCGGCTTGCTGTCTACCAAGGGCTCTTGCCCATCTCGTCCAAGGGCGACAATGCTGTCATGGCAAGAGAAAGGTGATACCTTTCCCCTACCTGCTCTAGATGTTCACCGGAACGCCAGCAGGTTGCATGGAGTGCATGAATGGAGTCCGCAGGACGTTGCTGATTTCCTCGCCGACCTTGGGAAGGATCCTGAAGAGAAGAAAGGGATGAAAGGCGCAGCGGAGAGAGCCATTCTGAACGGCATTGACGGCAACCTTTTGCTGCATCATGTCGCCAACAGCCCGGAGGAGTACTATGAAATGCTAGGGCTCGATGGCAAGGAGGAGGGTGCAGCACGAGGACTGTTTGCTGCGGCGGTGAGGGATCTGAGAACGCTGGCTCGAAAGCATCCCAGAGATTTCTGGGAGTTCAGGAGCAGCCACCGTGAGATGGTCTATCTCATGGAGAAAGCGATCCTCGAACAGCCGAGGACTCTGATGATCTGGTTGTACTTGTACCAGCAAGAAGATGCCCTGGAAAGATTGTTTGCATCCAACGACTCTCTGTTCTCGCATGTGTGCTTCTGGGTTATGTTGTACATGTTGCCGAACGTGCTTTTGATGAGAGAGGCGCTGGGTTTCTGGGACGATCATCGTTATCTGGTCTTGATAATATGCATGGTCGACACGATCACTTGTTGCGATGGAGCTAACAATGTCAGCAGGTAGCTGCAGTAAACGAGTATCTACTTGTACGAGCTAGGATTCAGAGGGCCAGGCAGCAGATCAACGGGAATTTCATCATCACATGGTTGTGCAAAGCTCTTTGGAATGATCTGTGGGCGGAGACAGTTTCCCAGATCCTCGCAGCCGCGATGCTGTGGTATGTGAATGCGTCGATATGGAGGATGGTTCCATGGGTCCTGTGCGACTTGGACCTTTACTACCACATGACATTGTAGCGCTTAGCTGCGGCCTCTTATTGGTTCTTACCTTCACCCAGGCTTCCTTTCTCAAGGACTTACAGGTTTCTGCGCTGGTTCTTCCGTGGTGGGAACGAGGACCCGCCAATGAACCATCTGCACTTCGCCATGAACCCCTTCGTGTTTGGGTGGCATGGCGAGGCCCGCGGGGGAGGGCAAGGTAAGCTCACAATGCTGGCATCGAGATGATCTGCGCGTTCCATGATCCTCTCGTAAAACTTGATGGGCCTGCAGGAAGCAGTCTCCATGAAGGACCGCCAAGGCCGATGCACTGGCCTCCTCCAATTGTGAACGATTCTGATGCGCGTCTCCTCAAGTCGTGACTTCCTCCTCTCCCCAGGATGTTCCTGTTGACATCTTTGAGCGCGTTGTCAGTGTTCCGGATTCCTTCATCTGTAAGATCACTCATGACATCATGCGGGAGCCTACGATGGTAAGATAGGCCCTTGCCGGCAGGAACGTTGAGATGCTGGTAGGTATGCGTCAGCGGACACACGTACGAGAGAGCAGCGATAGTCACCTGGCACGCCAACAGCAACGGCAAGAGCTGGACCTCGAAGAAATCAAACTCAAACTGATGACAGGTGAAGATCCCATGACCAAGAAACCATTCAAGATGGAGGACCTGGCACCGAACCTCGTGCGATCTCTCATCTGCTGCTACCACAGCCTGATAAATGTTTTGGTATCAACAGGCCCTCCGAGACATGATCGAGGGATGGATCGAAGAGCACAGATCGGACAGATCTGCTCATGCTCACGTTGAGTAAAGATGTCTGTTTTCCCACAACCTTTGCTACCTTGCCATCGTCATGCTCTAGACTGCATTCAAGTCGAGCTCATACGATCACATCAGAGCTTGCGCATGCCGGAGACTCTCCTCTCCTTGCCTACAGGATCAGGACTTTTTTTCCCTCTTAGTTTTACAGTATGAGGAGCAAAGTAAAACTAGTACAGGCAACCGGTAGGAACGGCTGTTGAAATGGGCGTATGAAGGAGGGCGACCGTGGGTGTGAGGGAGGGAAGGCTGGGAGGGGAGATGAAGGCGAGGAGGGCTAACAGAGCAGGAGAGGCGCGGGGATGAGATACTTGAGCTGATCATCTCATTGCGGAATCGTTCACGACCGCGGTGAAGCAAAGAAGTGTAAATGTCTACCCTCGACAAATGCTTCGATGTGTTCAGCTTGACATCGGCACAAGACATTGACGCGCTGCAAGTAGATGAAGGCTTGTACTTCGGGAGCCAGGTGAGGCTCGCTCCATTCCTCACGTCCTGTCTTTGACCTTTCTTACAGCACGATGGAAAACCGCACGGGCTGGGGATAATTTTGTACACAGAGGACGATGAAAGCGAGAGATCTTGGTTCTGTGGAGAGTTCAGCCACGGGATCAAGAAGGGAGTGGGAGTTCTTCACTGGAAAGCTGGGCATCGATATGAAGGAGAATGGAATGCGAACGAGGTAAGTGGTTGCTTCGTCACTCAGATGTTGATATGGCTGACGATTGCTTCAGCCCCATGGCTGCGGCCTCCTCCTCCAAGCCGATGAAGCATCCATCTTCTTTGGTCAGTTTCATGAATGCAACAGACATGGTGTGGGCGCAACCCTGTCGCTGGACGCTGAGCATGCAAGGGAAACTTCAGCTGAGTGGAATTGTGACATGAAGCACGGAGTTGCATTCATATACAATTCGGATGGGAACATCGATGCTGAACTAGTGTATGACAGGTATGTTCATTTCTTGTGATAAGTTTATAGACGTTTCACCTGACTGTGGAAACAGCAACAAACTTGTGAGAAACAGTGTGGAAGCACAGGCAAAAGATCAATTCCACACCAAACTCTGTGTTGTTCTTGGATTCTGCAAGGCCATCCTGCAAAGGGCAAGCATGCTGTTGATCCATTTCGAACCTACCTTGACTGCACTTGGGCTCTTGACCTCCAACATGTTGGATGCGGATAGAAACGAGTCGGAGAACAGCGGCAATGGCAGGAACGTCGAGAGATACATCAACAAGTTGCATTCAAAGGTTTGGAATGGAACTACAAAGCGGTATCTTTCTGATTTCAGTTTCGATGGCGATCTTGAGAATTCACCTGCTGCGAGGTCAAAGCCTGAGCAAGACAGTCAGTACCACACCAGCTTTGACAATGCAATCCAAGTTCTTGACATGAACGTTGTTGAGAAACTGAAGAACATTGACTTGAGTCTCGGCGCGCTGACCAACTCGGAATCTCAAGACATGGATGAGCAAGTGACGAGCCAGACTGTGATTCTTGAAAGGCTTTTTCATGCTCAGAGATTCAAGCCCAACCTGTTTGAATACGAGAAATGCCTGGGAATCAAAACTCTAGAGATGATGAACGTCATAATCGAACAGGAGCTGCAAGAAAAGGACTCCTCATTCTTTAGGTCTTCTCCTGCCCAAAAGGATCAACTGATAACAAATCTCAACAAGAATCAGCGATGGAATTTGATATCAACACAAATCCAGAAACGTTTCAACCAAGTTTCGAACAAGGGACATCCCTTGGCTATTGAATTGTTTCAAAACTATTTGTCAAGGGGCAAATCAAATGATGCTGAGGTTGATAACCTTTTGCACGAGTTGTTTTTAGAAGGAGAGAAGATGCTCTCGCTTGCTTCAGCTGATTCGGCACGGCAAATCGTTCAATCTCTAGTAGAGAACGCAGAGATCTCCATGCTATCAAACATCGTCCTAGAGGAGATCCGAGCCGTTCTCACCTCAGCTGAGACGACTAAAGATCATTGCATAGCAGATGCTCACCGAGTCTTGAACCACATGATGAAGATGTCAGCCGATGAAAGGCTCTTAGCCTTGTTCAGGCATCTGCCCAACTCGGGCCTAACTCTGTTTCTGGTCACGGACATCTGTTTGAATTGGACAAGCGGAGACAAGCTGGAGGAAACGGCGGTCGAAGTCATCAAGGAAACAGTGTTGCGAAAGGTAGAGGAGATACAGTCCGAGGTTGAAATCATTGATCATCAGCTGAAAGACAGCTCCTCTCTGGACTTGAAGAATCTCGTTCAGTCATGTCAGTCAAGCCCGGTTGCAGTGCACCTGCTTCTAAATGCGTTTGCGTTCGGATTGAGCCAAGAACGTTCAAGAAATTTACTTTACCTGTGCTCGCATGTGATACGCATGGCAAAAGTTGAAATAAGGTTCCTACAGGATGAAATCAACAATGACTTCTCCCATTTCTGGTTCTCACTGTTCTCGATCAATCATTTCAATCCGTTATATGCTATGCTGTTGAGAACATATCATGAGGCGATGCAGCAGTCCTTGATCAATCATATATTGCAATCAGAACTTTCTCAGATTGTCGCTACCGAGGACTCGCGCAGGGAGTCTCAAATCGATTCTTCTTTGCATGATGTACACAAGCTCGTGAAAGAGGGACAGCAGTTGTTACACAGCATTGACGATTCTGATGCTCTGAGGCTTTTGGAGTCTATCAAGCACAGTGTGAGAGAAGGACCTGAATCAGGAGTCAGAGTCCGAACAAGAGATAACAAAGATGATAAAGTTGTGACGCAAGTCAGTAGCTCTGAGCACACAGGCCAAGAACAAGCAGTCGTAACAGCCGATTGCACTGCCTGGGAATCAATTGCAAGTAGCAAGACTCTCGTCGATGACGCCAAAGTTCTCGTACAGGTCGATGCTGACGTGAGCGACAACCTGGAGGTGTCTCTGTATGTGCTGCGGTTGGAGTCTGCTGCTGCTGATGAGGAGTCAACGGGTGCAGTAGCCGTTCGTGAGAACCCCCATCAAGCATATGAGAGAGCGTCAAAAGAAGGGGAGGGGATAGCAAATTACTCGATGAGTACCAAGATAGGCGCGGCCAAGGGAGACGGAAAAGAGCGGGGGCAGGAAGGGAAACATCAAAGCAAAGTGCCTGTAGAGGAGCAGGAAACTGAGCGCACAAACAAAGCTGTATCTTCATCTCATGCTGATGACGCCGATGTTCTCGTGCAGGTCGATGCTGACGTGAGCGACAAGCTTGAGGTGTCTCTGTATGTGCTGCGGTTGGAGTCTGCTGCTCATGATGACTCTTCTGGAGAAAGCCTCCCGCAAGCATCTGACGGAGCATCGAGGAAAGGGGAGGAGAGAGCGAAACACTCGATGGATACCAAGATAGAGGAGCCGGTCAAGACCGACAGAAAGGATCTTCAGCCGATGTCAGATGAGGATCAGGCTGCCCCTTCATCTCATGCTGATGACGCCGAAGTCCTCGTACAGCTCTATGCTGACGTGAGCGACAAGCTTGAGGTGTCGCTGTATGCGCTGCGGTTGGAGTCTGCTGCTCATGATGAGGAGTCGACTCTTACAGTAACAACAGACAATGTCCAGCTTACGACTTGGAAGGAAGAAGAAGGGGAGGAGGAGGAGGAAGAGAAACAGGGAGGGAAAGAGAAGGGAGTGGAAAGAAAAGAGGAGGAAGAGGAAGAAGAAAAGAACAGAGCGAGGCAGGAAGAAGACAAGCAAAGAGATTTGCATGTGGTGAATGAGCTCAAGACAGTCGATGAAGGTCAGGAACCCAGTCAAAGGCAGGAAGCGATCTCAGTGGATCAGGAGCCCCAGGAGGAAGATGGAGCTGGAGGAGCGGAGGCAAACGACAGCGAGGAGGGCAATGAGATGATTGATCGAGACAAGATGTCAGCAGCGATGAGGGAGCAATCCACAAATATGGAGCAAGGGGAGCAACGGGAGCAACGGGAGCAAGGGGAGCAGGGGGAGCAGGGGGAGCAGCGGGAGCAGGGGGAGCAAGGGGAGCACGAGGATATTGTCCAGATTATAGCGGATGAGGTGAGCGAGGGTGCCAACGAAGAGGGAGAGGATGAGGCAAATAAGGAGCCCGACGGAGAGGCAAACATGCAGGATGAGAACGAAATGGAGAAATGGAACAGAGAAATCTCAGAGCAAGGAGCAGACGTGTGTGGAACAAACGACGACGTGGGAGGAAAGGATGACAAGGTAGAAGATGTTGGAGAGCCTTCTGCAAAGGTAGCAATATTGGAAAACGAGGATGAGGAGGAGGAGCCCGTGAAGTTGGAGGAATCAACAGATGGGGAGTGTAAACAGGTGATGGAGGAGGTCGCAGAGGTGGCAGAGGTCGCAGAGGTGGCAGAGGTGGCGGAGGAGATGGAGGCGAGTGATACCGATGAGCTTGCTTGGGCGGATGGGAACAAGGCGCTCGAAAGTGAGAGCAAAGATGCTTTGGCTGAAGTGGAAGAAGCTAATCTGCAAGATTCTTCCAAGCAGGCAGGGTTGGTGGTGGCAGGAGGAGCGAAGCATGTGGAGGAGGATGAAGGAGAGCGAGTGGTTGAGAATGAGAGCGCAGAGGAGCAGGGAGCTGGGGAAGCAAGAGCTGAGGAAGCAAGAGCTGGGGAAGCAAGAGCTGAGGAAGCAAGAGCTGCTTCCGTCTTGCAGTGTGCCTGGCGCTCTCACGTTGCTAGGGAAGTGAGGGGGAGAGAAGCAGCTGCGCAAGAGGTCAAAAGGCCTCCAGGAAGACACACAGGAATAACGACAGAAGCAGCAGCTTCACGCGATGTGGAGGGATCTGCAGTCAGACTTCAGTCTGCCTGGCGTTGTCATGCGGCTAGGAACCAGCTTGCATGGCGTCGGAAGCAAAGAGCGAAAGCCATCAAGGTCAGCAGGGAAGTGCGATTGGCTCGATCGATCAGAGTCAAATCTACAAGATGGAAGCACACGAATAAGAAAGTCTCGACTCGATTCTTGTTTGCGTCGAAGTCAGTCAAAGGCCAAAGAGCTGGTATGAAGCGATTTCTCAACGATTTCAACGCTACTCTCCAAGTCTTCCAGCAGATGTACTCTGAGATAAAGACGAGGCATGCTCAAGCTACCAAGTTGCAGAGCTGGTACCTGAAGAAGAGGCAAGATCAGCAATCAAAGCTGAATTACAAGGAGAGGCTGAAACACGAGGAGGAACGCTTGCTTGCTTCAACTGCGTCAGACACCATAAAGTATGCTTGGCTCTGTCACACGGCTGTGCTGGAAGCTCGTTTCATGCGACGACTGACGATGTCTGCATCGAACCATGCTGCTGGGGTGATCCTGTCACACTGGAAGATGCACCGAGCGAAAGCTGTCATGGAGGGGCTTCGCACTCTCAAGCATGTCAACGTGATCAAACAAGCGATCCTCTGCCATGCGGCGCGGAAGCGAATGCGAGCTAAGAGGAAGATGATCAAGTCGAAGCGAGTGCTGATGCTGGTGGTCAAGGTTCAGTGTATCGTCCGCAAGTATCTGGCGTTGCGGCGAGCCAAGAAGCGAGTCCGGGCCAACCGGGTGATGCAGCGGTGGGTGGGAAAGTTCGCCTTCAGGAAGGTGATCGAGTCGCTGATGCGCGTGGAGGCCTGCGCGTGGATCGAGACCTTGTCGCAGCACTCGCAGTCCCTAGACAAGTATGCCGCCTTCAAGGAGACGCAGAGGAAGGTCGAGTGCGTCTTTCCCACCTGGTGGCTTGCTCACTTCCCCATGTCGGAGACCCCAAGGCTGGAGCGGAGCGCTCAGATCCTTGAGACTCTCGAGTTTCAACTCCGCAGAGACCAAGTTGAGGTCCCCCTCCTTCCTCCAGCTGACCTCCAGCTGACCTTGTGTGGCCGTGCAGGTGCTGGGGGGTATCGGAAGTTTCGACAGCACCTTCGCTAAGATGTAGATGAGCTGAAATCCTGCTGCCTGCCTGCTGACCTTGTTGTGCAGCAAATCTTGGTCAGATGAAGCTACTTCCTCGCAGGTTGTCTCCCTGAACCAGGACGACGCCTACGACCTCCTCATCGCCCTCCTGTCGTTCTGCAACGCTCACGGAGCCGAGCTGCTGTTCAAGTTCTCGGAGACGGAGAGGGACTCGAGCCTCGAAGTGCTAAGGGAAGCAGGGTACCAACTCTTGAGGTTCGCAGAGAAGCTCTCTGAAGGTCCAGACACGTTCTCCGTCGGCATCACGGAGAGGCTGGAGTACCGTCAGCTCACCTACTACAACCTCTGCAGATACTACGTCCTCGTGGACAGGATGGACCTGGCGCTCAAGGCCGTCGGCAAGGTGAAGGAGATGGCCTCGGGGATCGAAGTGCGAGACTCTCTGATCGAAGTCCACTGCGATATATGGTGCTCTTACATCCACTCCAAGTTGGACGACTACGGCCTGTCGATCCAGTTGCTCCATCAGTCCATCCAGAAGCTCCAGCTCTGGTGCTCCACTGCAGACCAGCTCTCCTGGTCCAGCGTCTGCTCCTCCCGACACCTCAACCAGCGCTACCGGTGCTCCGCCTCGCACCTCGCAGCTGTCTGCAACTACAACCTGTGTATCGGGTTCATAGCCGAGAGGAAGTACGACGCTGCTATGAAGGCAGTGAAGCGATCGGTTGCGCTCGCGTACGAGGACTCGTACCAGCAGCCGATCTTCATGCGGCGGGTGAGGCACACGATGGTGTCGCTGGAGGAAGTGTTGAGAGCGCTTGGCATCTTGAAGCAGGAGGCTCCCAAGAAAGTCACTCAGATCGTGTCAGCCACCAGCTCCAGCGCCTCTGCCGTGGTGAATGACCACGAGGAGAAGACTGAGGAGGAGATGAAGGAGGAGAGCCTGAGGAACTTCGGGAGGTGGTTCCCGCCGCACATCGCGCTCAACAGGGCTGCGTCTCCCATGCTGGCCGAGAACGAGAAGAAGATCAAGATCAGGACGAGCCGTGCGAACGAGGCCATGGCATTCTTCTCGCTCAAACACGAGCTCGGCGACAGGCCGAGCAAGGTCAGGATACTCCCCATCATCTCCGACTCTAGCAAGGAGCAGCAGCAGAGGCCTCTGCGGAACTACCTGATGCTCGCTGCGTTCCCTTGCCAGTCCTTTGAGTTCTTGCAGCCGCGGCGGCCGGAGTTCGTCCAACTCAAGCAGTTGTTGCAGAGCAGCACAGCCAAGGAGGGGCTGAGGACGATAGAGAAAGCTCGAGCGGAGATTCAAAGGATGCTGCACACGGCCCTGTGGATGAACGAGGAGGAAATCCTGTACCGAGCAAGAGACGTCGCCGCCCTCTCCCTCCTATTCTCCTGCATCATCTTCTCTGCCTGCCACAGGCCAGAGGGGATGGCCGGGCACGAGGACATGGCGGTGGCTGGCAAGTGCCTTGAGATCAGCGACTCGATCCTGTGGGGCATGAGAGGGTTTGCAAGGGAAGAGTTCCAAGACCTTCGCGCCTTCCAGGCCTTCCTGCACCCGCTCTTGCTCTGTTGCCTCGGTCAGGCTGGCTACGCAGCCAACCTGTTGGGCAAGAGCTGCAACCGGCTGCTGGAGTCGAGCTCGAGCAAGGCCCTTGTTGTCGTGCAGCTGATCAACCTCTGCACGTGCCTGTCGCAGGTGCACCAGCACGAGGAGGCGTTCCTCGTCAGCGAGAAGGCCTCGTCCCTGCTCAAGGAAGCTGCCGCCAAGCGCAAGCGAGGGTTCGAACTCCGAGCGCTGCCGGATGCGAAGCTCGTGCGGATGCCAGTCAACGTGCTGCAGGCACTGAGCAAGTGCCAGAGTGGCATCGAGGGGCTGTGGATAGGACGAGAGTACGAAGCAGCGTCATGCGCGAAGGAGGCGGACGAGGTGCTGAGAGCGGAGGGAGGAGTGTTCAAGGACGTCAGCGAGTGCATCGCACGGCTGCATCAGGTCTCTATGAGGGTGACCCTGACCTCCCCGCAGCTGCTCAGCCTGAGACGGACCCTCACGTTCTCCCCCGCCAGCTCCAACTCCACCGCTCGCAAGATCACGTTCTGAGCGCAACTGATGTCAATAAAGGTCACAACAAGAGAAGTCAAGGATGAGAGGGAGGGGAGGAAGCGGAGGAAGGTCGAGGAAGGAGGAACATGGAGAAGGAATGAGGAGGAGGAAGAGGAAGAAGGAGGAAGAGGTGAGTGTGCGAGAGTCGACGCAAAGCGACGCAGGCATGAAGGAGCAGCATGGGGGTCGGCGAAATTCGTTTATGGTGCAACAAACCTTGTAAAAGGGGGCGCACCAAAGGGTTTGCCCTGGCGGTGTAAAAAGGAGAAAATGGCGGGGGAGGGAGATATGAAGAGAGGTAGGGGGAGGACAGGAGGCAGAAGGGAGGAAGGGGAAGAGAAAGAGGGTTGAAGACAGGGGAGGAGAGGGAAGAGGAGGAGGAGGAGGAGGAGGAAGAGGATTAAACTTAAGGCCAATGGTCGCAAACTCATCACTATGAGGTTGGGTCGAGCTTGTTGGCTGGTTCTCTTGGTTTGCTGGGCATGCGCCACAGGCGCTCAACATGATGGGACGTCGCAGCATGCAATGCTGCTGGAGTCCATGGCAAACACAAGCCATGCTCCTGATGAGAGCGCGATGAACCTGCTTCCGAGTTCCGTTGAGCAGCAGGATGTGAAGCAGGATGAGGAGCAGGAAGGAGGCGGGGGAAGCGGAGGAGGCGGAGGAGGCGGAGCAGTGGGAGAAGAGGGAGGAGGACATGCAGAAGCCAGATATGGCGCCGGCGAGCATGCGCAAAAGACCTATGATGTCAACGAGCTCCGAGAGTTCGCCAAGTGGTCTGAGAGTCAAGTCAGGTGGGGAGGAGGAGAGCAGCAGAAGGGAGGAGCTGATGAAGTGGCGACAGGCCCTTGCGGCTCCCGCACCTTGACCAACAGCTGTCAAGGTTGAGATCTCTCTCCGACGAGACGGTCAGCAACTGCAGCTGAGCGCGCTGGCCCGCTGATCATGCAATGCAGGGCATGTCGTCGGCGCTCCTGTCGTGCAAGCTGGCGGTGGAGCAACAGGCGAATCGGACGATGCAGTACATCCTTGCTCAACCTGAAGTGATGATGTGGAGGTCGATACTTCTTTTTCTTCTTCTTCTTCTTCTGCTGCTGCTGCTGCTGCTGCTGCTGCTGCTGCTGCTGCTGCTGCTGCTGCTGCTGCTGCTTCTGCTGCTCCAGCAAGCAGTTTCCTCACCTTTCAATCCTCCTCGTTCTGCTTCCTCCTCCCTTCGTTCTTGCTGCACAACAACACATCACTCTTCTCTCTGCTGTTCTCTTCTCTCATATCATAATGCCTTGCAGGTTGCAACCGGGAGATCATCTCAAAGTCCGTGGGGTCGCGGGTTTTCGTGCCCTGACGTTGAGCACGAGACAAATTTGCAGCAGCTGATGATGAGACAGGCACCATGCGATCTACCTTGGAGATGGGAAGATAATGCACTTCACTGGTGAGAGAATGAGGTTGATGGTGGTGGTGGTGGTGGTGGTGGCGAAGGAGGAGAGGAAGGAGAAGAGGAAGAGGAAGAGGAAGGGGAAGATGAAGGGGAAGAGGAGCAGGAACAGGAAGAGGAAATGTAGGGTGGTGTCCTCGTGCGGGCTGCGTCTGACGTTGATGGTGGAAGGAGGAGTTACGGATAAAGCCAACGCTACATGCAAAATAGACTCGCTGAGGACCATGTAAGGAAGAGGAAGGCTTGGGAAGTTAGTGAGAGGGAGGGAGGAGGGAGGAGAGAGGAAGAGGAGGAAGAGGAGGAAGGGGAGGAAGTTCTGACAGGCGGCAGATACAACTACGGCAAGGCGAAGGGAATGCATATCGAGGTTGTAGACCATCCTCCCAACGCTCTTCCGCGCGAAGTGATCGTTGAGGTGCGAGTGAGAAGAGGAGGGAAAGAAGTGACGGGCCCTCAGCGAGCGAAGTCAAGAGTCGGGGAGACTGGATACAATCTGTTCAGCAAGGTAAGCACGGGGCGGGCGGGGGAGATGATGTGAGGGAGGGAAGGGAGGCAGCAAGGGGGGGTGGAGGTGAAGAGTATGGGGCGGGCACGTATCAAGTCAAGGAAGGAGGAGAGGGAAGGAGGAGGAAGCTGCAGCGGTGAAGATTACTTCTCAGAACTGCGAGCATGTGGTCAACTGGTGTATCCGAGGCGAGATGCACTCGATGCAGGTCCTCCAACCATTGACCCTCGTTGCTGTTCTCTCCCTCATACGATCAAAACCATATCTCCCTGCTCCCTGCTCCCTGCTCCCTGCTCCCTGCTCCCTGCTCCCTGCTCCCTGATCATTCCACAGATCCAGAGGCTGAGGAGCGACCCGCTGGGGCTGGGCAAGGAGATCCTGCAGGTCACCTTCTCTTTGCCCCCCCTCTCCTCTCTTCTTCTACTGACTTTCTGTGCAGGAGCAGCTTGAGGCCGGAGAAGGAGTCTGCCTCGAGGAGGTCACAAGGAGCCTCGGCTCCTCATCTCCCTCCTCTCATGTGCACGCAGATCTGTCGGACACTCCTCCCTCCTACCGTCTGGCAGACGGTGAGAAAGAGGAACAACGAGGAGGGTGATGTAGGACGATGGAGACTGGACTCCATGACACTTAAGATGGAGAAAGGGCATGGCAGAGGAAGAGGAAGCAAGATGATGATGATGATGATGATGATGATGATGATGAGGACGAGGATGGTGAGAGGAGCAGGAGCAGGAGTAATAGCTGAGGAGGAGGAGGAGGAGGAGGAGGAGGAGGAGGAGCGATAGGAGGAAGAGAAGTGATAGCTGCACAGGCCATGATGCTGCAGGAGCGAGTTCGTCAATCATCGACTGTTAAGAAGTGGAAGGAGACTATCCAGCAGGCGATCAACGGTCGCGACAAGCCAACAAACACGTGGGAGGAGGGAGGAGAGTAGCTGCCCGTCCAGCTGAGCTCCATGGCAGGCTGATGGAGCTGAGAGAGAAAGCTGAGAACCTCCTGGCCGCCACTCGCCTGCCCTTCCTCCCCTTCCGCCACCGAGAGACACGGAGCAGCCCCGACCTCGCGCTCTTCCTATAGCATCTGAGGCTGCTCCGACCAGTACAGGGTGGTAGTGACATGCATGCTGGTCCTGCGGTAGCGGCTGCGAGGGGCGACATGGTTGGAGAAGAGAAGAATGATCTGTTATCAGTCACAGTCAGCTCCTCATCTCTCCTACCCTTCCCTCCTCTGATCCTCTTCTCTCCTCTTCCTCCCCTCTTTCTCAACCCAGTCGCTCAATCTCTTTCCCTCCTCCTCTCCTTCTCTCCTCCACTCGCTCAGTCTCTCCTGTTTCCACTGCTCCATCACCAACTTACGGTAAGGAAAGACGAAGCCCAACAAGCAAACGCGATGTAGCTGAACCCTGGGAGGATGGTCCGTGAGAGAAGGCGGAACGCAGAAAGCCAGAGTTCTTACCAAGAGGAAATGAATAAAGATAAATGAGAAAGCACAAGAAGAGAGCAAGGAAAAAATTAGGAAATTGTCGCATGGACCGATTCCCTCTCACTTTGATCTGCGACAATGGTTGTCATAATCAAATCCATCACCACCACAATAATCATCATCTTCACTATCATGATCATACTCATCATAGTCACCACCACCACCACTTTCACCATCATCGTCATCATTTCGATCACAACAGGACTGACCATTCGAAAGATTTCATTCCCCCATACAAGACTGAATACCAGGAAAGCCAGAACCTGAGAACGCCTCGTTAATCCATCTCGCGATCTCTTCTCCCCTTTCCTCCCTCCTGCTCCTCCTACTCCTCCCCCTTCACCCCCTCCGTCTCCTCCTGTCATTCTCACCTGATCTTCGAAGAACTCAAAGAGGAACATCAACACTCCGATCATGATGGGAAGGAAGGCAAGGGAGTCAAGCGAGTGGGGCAGCAAGAGTTGGAGGTAGGAGGCGCCATGGCGGTTGTGGTGACGGAGCTGCACGATAAATCTCAAGACCCTTGCATGAGTCTCGATCAGCGTGAAGGAGACGAGAGTTGAAGTCGTGATCGCCAGCACAAGAGATGTGCAGAGTATCCCGAGCTTGTGATACACCACATCCTCCACCTTCTTGCTCCTCCTCGCAAAGTTGAGGTTGTAGAGATCAGCAGTCTGCACGTTGTGCACGTACCCTCCCCCGAAGAAGGTGTGGAACTGATTGAGTACAATCGAGTCCAACCCAACGAAGGAGATGAGCCACGTAGACAGCAAGTCGCCCCCTCCCAGGCAGCGATCGTCTTCGAAGATCGTGATGTTCAAGATGGAAACGTTTAAGTCGATCATAGCTCGGTGCGAGAGCATGAGGAAACCTTTCTCCTTGCTGAAGATGTAAGCATACGTCGTGCGAGGACTCGCTGCCCTCCCGCTGCTGGCAGCTGATGGGGCCTGCTCCTCGAGCCCCTCTAGACGCTTGCCTGACCCCAAGATTCTCCTCCACATGGCAGAGCCCCATGTCTCCTGCCTCCCCTTGATCGCGCTCCCTTGGACATGAGAAGAGTTCGTGCGGCCCTGGGCGCTTTGCTGCTTCCTGCTCAGCATACTGAAGAAGGGCTTCCATCTCGTTCGACTCTCCTTCTTGTCGCAAGTCAATGCCTGCGCAGCTTCGGAGGGATCGAGAGCTCGAGGCTGATGACCGAGCGCTCGGGCGATGGAAGTCTGGGAGAGAAGGCGGGAGACGTCGTCGACATAGTCGACGTTCTTGATCGCGAGCCGAACCTGAAGGATATCCGGCCTGACCCTCCTGATCTGATCTGCAGGGAAGCAATGCACCGTTGCGTTAAACTTGTTGTGGAGCAGAAACAGGAGAGAAATCAGCAGGACGCTGGTCATGAACGCAACTAGCTCCAACCCCACCATCAACATCCTACTCCTCCACTGCGTCTGCATTCCTCCTCCTCCTCCTCCTCCTCCTCCTCCTTCCTCGGTTGGTATCACCGTCTGCCGATCCTCAGGTTGTATTCCCCCAAGCAGCTGCTCCCGCCCATCATCTCCCTCCTCGTTGCGTCTTGATGCCGATGGGACATCTTCTGCTCCGTTCACCTGCGCGCCGGCATGCTCGTGCGAGCTGCTGTCGGCGAAGTCCAGGTAGCTTCCATTGCTGGACGTTCTCCGGTCGATCTCGAACGCAAAGGAAGAGTTCACTGTTGCGGACAGGAGGTCGTCGTCGAGGAAGAACTGTATCCCCTCGTCCACTTCCATGGACTCGGCTCGACTAAAGTTGGGTTCCGAAGACATGGCGGGCACTATGGTATTTCAGGCATCTCAAAGCTCAGGCGCCCTAATGAAATGATCAGCAGCAACAACTCGAGAGGAAAAGCGCGGTGAAGAAGAGTAGGAGCAGAAACAACAAGTTACAAGAAAAAGTTACCACTGGCTGTTTGCTCGCCTGCCTGCTTTCCTGACTGCTAGTTTACATACCTTCTCCTGAGTGCCCTTCATTATACCTCTTCTCTCCTCTCTTCTCCTCTCTTCTCCTCACCTCTATCTATGGCCATGACCTCCTCTAACGCCTCTCTCCTCTTCTCCTCTCCCTCCCCTCCCTCCCTCCCCTCCTCCACCCATTTTTACGGTCGTCCAGATCTCACATGTCCGCACTCCACAAATCTCCTAAACAATGTTTCAGATAGCCTTCTCTTTTTATCACTAAAGTTTCAAATTTTATGATGACCAAAACAGACTTTGTCAAATTGGATGCAAGATTTTATTACCCCCATGCCTGGGGATGTTGACCCATCAAAATTAAGAAAATTGGAGCCAGAAAATTCGCCAAGAGGAATGTTGGAATGCAACAGTAGTGAGCGTGTGAGGAGGACGGGGAGGTGAGAAGAGGAGGCGGTGAAGAGAAGGAACAGAGTGCACACAGGGAAGGGAGGGGAGGGGAGGGGAGGGGAAGGGAAGGGAAGCGAAAGGAGATGGAGGGAGGATGAGGAGCAGAATGTAGGGAAGGCGATGCCAAGCAAGTTTGAGTTCAGATTCTAGATTGAGTGTGTCTTGATCTTCCTCACTAAGTTAACAGACAAATACAGACAACCAAAAAGTTCGCAGAGGCTGAATATCACTAAAAACAAACATTGCATCAACACGCTCAATGCACACACATGATACGAATGCCAACATGTACACACACAGACGGGCACAAGATCTGATCTCCCGCTCCTCGCCCACCCTCTAGTACATGTTGATGACCGAGTTGAGATTCCAGGGCTCGAAACGCAGCAGCTGCTCATTGTAGATGAAGCAGAAGGGGTCCGTGCTGCCGTCTGGCTTCACCTCAGAGCATGGGTGGTCGAGGATACACAGCCATGCCTCGTACAGGTTGACAACAATCATGTGACCCAGCCCCCCCGTCGCCGCTCGTCCGCTGCGGATCTCAGGGGTGACCTCCGGCCAATCCCTGGTGAAGGAGCAGTTGCGAAAGCGAGGAGGACAGGCGAAGACGCTGGAGCTGCGGGGGTCCACGATGGCGCGGTAGGAGAGCTCGAAACCGGGGAAGCGAACGGTGCTGTCCGTGAGAAAGACGAGCTCGAGGACGGGAGCGTTGACAGTGAGCTCTTCTCCTGTCCAGTAGCCCGAGAAATTCCTAAGAGCCGTCCTGTCCAGGCAGCTCGGGTCGCTGCAGGTGAAGAGGCAGAGGAAGTCGTAGCCCGGCTCAGTCTCGAAGAAGTTGAACTTGATGCTGATGTTGGCAGCGTTGAAGGGAGAGAGCAGCCAGTGACAGTTGGCAAAGTTCTCGTACAGCCCTCGGTTGCCCGACCCGTCGGTCACAAGCCCTTCCTGCCTGAGGAACTGCTGGCAGTGACACGGGCTGGTGCACTCCTGGCAGCGGTAGCCTGACGGGCAGGGCCCTGGGAGCGAAGGGGAGGGCGAGTACCCTTCCTCTGCCAGCAGCGATGTGGTCCATGCAGCTTCAAAGCCGCTGTCCTGCAAGCTTGCGTCGCTGGTGAAGACGATGTCCATGATACCGGTAGTGGAGAGGAGGACGAGGTTCTGGATATGGCCGGAGAAGATCCCAATGGTCCGTGAGCTGCGGCAAGCAGCGTCATCGCACTCCTTGGCCAGCAGCAGGTCGTAGTTGAGCTCGGTAGCGAAGCGCTTGAAGGAGAGCTGTAGCCAAGATGCCTGGGGTGCTGAGAGGATCCAGTGGCAGAAGGCATCGTTGGGATACAGTCCTCCTGCTCCTGCTCCGTCCGTCAGGACCCCGTGAGTGCCGTTGAAGATCCCGCAGTTGCACTGGCTGTTGCAGATGTCAAAAGCACCGAGGGACATCCACTTGAGGAGGAAGCCTCCTGCCGTAACGAGAGAGTCCGAGGTGAAGAGAATCTCCACGATGCCACTGGAGGCGACGAAGGAGGCAGAGGACGAGACGGTGCCGGTCAGAGTGGCAAGGGAGGAGGTGCTGGAGCAGAGCTCGTCAAAGCAATGGTTGAGTTGGAGGAAGTCATAGTTGGCCTCCAGGTCGAAGGAGGGGAACGTGAGCTTCAGCGCACCGTGTGTTCCTCCCTGTGGGGAGATGATCCACCTGCAGTTGGCGTTGTTGTTGTATGTGTAGACGCCCGAGCCGTCCTCCATCTGACCCGCTGACTGCGTGAACCTCTGGCAGTCACAGGGGAAGGAGCAGGGAGAGAGCTGGAGGGATGGGAAGGGGCCGGGCTGGATCTCCAGCACCACCAAGACCTCGACGTCCTCGCAGCATCGCGCGTAGAGGCCGAGGACCCACATGCCTCCCTGCTCCTGGTTGCGGACAAAACTGGCGCTGTCTCCCTCGTCCTTGACAGCGTCGACGTACTCACCGATGGTTGGGAGGCTGAGGTGGATGTCAGGGGGGAAGGAGGGAGAACACAAAGGGGGTTGGAGGAGGGAGGAAGGAAGAGAACGACGAGGAGAGCTAGCAAAAGGAGGAACAGGAGAAACAGGAGGAACAGGAGGGAGGCAGGGAGGGAAGGTGGTGGAGATGGGGGGCACGGGGATGGAGGGGAGACCTCTCGTAGCTGAGGTAGTAGTCGGGATCAGAGCCGGTGCTCGGCCCAAGGCCCGTGCAAATAATGCGGAAGGACTTGCCGTGAGAGAGCTGCGGGTTGAGTGAGAAGCAGGGGAGCTCAGAAACAGAGAGAGGGGGGAGGAGGAGTGGAGGTTTGGGTGGCAAGAGAGCAGGTAGGATGAGGAGGAAGTGAGTCACCAAGGAGGGAGGAGAGGAAACGAGCGAACGAGGGGAGCCATGGGGGGAAGGGGAAGAGAGGGAGGAGAGAAGGGGAGGAGCAGGCCATGGAGGAGGAGGAGGAGGATGTCACATTAAAGGTATAAAAGCTCATCCCGTTGGCAGTGACAGCAAGATGGTTTTCTCCTTGCTCTAACGTCCGAAACTTCCTGGAGCAGTCGGAACCTCCGTACTCGAAGTCGCAATGGCAGACGGAGTTTGATAGGCAAGTGCCATGCCCTGTGCGAGAGAAGACGATCAGCAAGTGCGCTTGAGGAGAGTGAGGACTGTGAGGAAAGGGGAGATGAGGGAGGTGAGGAAAGGCAGAGGCAAGGGAGTGGAAACAGGAAAGAGAAATTACGAGGAAGGATGAGGACGATGACGATGACGATGACGATGATGATTATGTTTATGATGATGGCAACGATGATGATGACAAGGAGGAGGAAGAGGAAGAGGAGGAGGAGGAGGAGGAGGAGGAGGAGCAAGCAAAACTGAAACGGTTTCTCTCACCTGAGCAGTTCTTTGGGCAGGTGATGGAGCTGCAGGCGGAGGATTGTTGCTCCTTGTCACGACATCAGGAGAAGGACCTTGCATGGAGAGATGTTGCAGTAGGACTGAGGAGGAAGAGAGGAGAACGAGAAGCAAGGAGGTGCGAAAAGGAGATGACCTGGAAGGGGGAAGGGGAAGGCAGCAGTAGAGGAGGACGAGGGAGAAGAGGAGGGGGAGACGAGGAGGAGGAGGGACAAACCACGAGGTCAGAGCCGGAAAGGACGAGACTGAAGGCCTGAGGGCCGAGGGGAACGTCGACCCCGACTACTCGAACCACAAGCAGACCAGGGGACGAGACAGAAAAAGATACCTGAGGTACATTAGATGGCACTGTTGAAAACATCCTCATCTTTTCCCTCCCCCTCTCCCTCCCCCTCTCTTCTGTCCACTCACCTGCTCTGCATTCTGTAAGTTGTCACTCACGACGTAGTCCTTGTACGTCTCATCGCTCTGCCTCAAATTGTTTCCCCTCCACACGTCTCCGTCCTTGTTCTGCACGATCAGGTCCAGGTCGTTCACCAGGACCCTCTCGGCCAGGTACTCCCCAGCCGGATCCGTCCACACCAGCGTCGCCTTGAACGGCATGGAGGAGGAGGCGTGAAGACATACAGACAGCTCCCCTCCGTTGTCCACTTGCTCTCGGTCACGGTAGATGGAGCGAGTAGGGGAGTCGGAGAAGGAGAGGCCCTTGCTAAGGTCGATCCTCCCGTACCCCGTCTGGATGTTGGGGACTGAGGATGGGAACTCCCAGGCTCCGGAGGCTGACTGAACCATGGCAGGCTGGTGGAAGGAGGAGTGAGTTAGTGAAGGAACAGTGTCCTCTTCCTGCTTTGTTCATCTTCCTCGTCCTCTTCCTCCACCTCTTCCTCCACCTTTCCCTCTCCCTCTCCCTCGTCCTCTCCCTCTTTCTTCCTTCCTCCTTCTTCATCCTCTTTGATAGAAGTTGTAAACTCTATCCTACATCTCCTCTCCACACACCTGAGCGGAGTGGATCATAGTAGCTTTCACGAGGGCAGCAGAAGCATTGAACCCTTTCGACGCATCTCCACCTGCACCGCGAGCAGTGAGGCCCTTGGACGTCTCCCATCCCTCTTCCTCCTTTGTCCTCCCAACGTACCCTCCTCCTGCACGTCTCCCTCCCCTCTCATTTCTCTCCTGCACCCCCCCTGCTCCCCTTGCTCCTGCTCCTGCTTCTGCTCCTGCTCCTGCTCCTGCTCCTGCTCCTGCTCCTGCTCCTGCTCCTGCTCCTGCTCCTGCTCCTGCTCCTGCTCCTACTCAACCTGCGTGATGGCCGCCTTTGAAGTAGTCGCGAACGAGAGCGGCAGAACCGGCGCACAGCGGAGTTGCCATGGAGGTGCCAGACATCTCCAGCAGAGCGCCCCCAGCCGAGTTGGCGTACGCCCCGCACTGGAAGGAGGTAGGATCCCCGTCGGAGAAAGAAGAATGGATCCGATACCCCGGGCAGAGCACGTCAGGTTTGATGCGAAAGTCGTAGGTGGGACCCCAGGAGGAGAAGTACACCAGGTGCTCGTGGGAGTGAGCCCGGGTGGTGGGGGTTGTCCCCCGCAGCTCGATGTTGGAGTTGAGGGAGGAGAGGAGCCGGTTGCCGTCGGAGAATGAGATGCTGAAGACGGGGATGGAGACGGAGGAAGAGTTGTCTGACGTCATCAGCACAGGCGTGTCCTCTGAGTTCTGGATCAGGACGGCCCTAGCACCTGCTGTCTGCGCCATAAGCGCCTTGTGCAGGAACGAGCAGGAGCCGCGCTTGATGAGCAGGAGAGATCCTGCAAAGTCTCCGTCCAATGGCGAGCAGGCGTCTGCTGGGGATGCAAGCCTGAGCTGGCCGGTGACATGATCTGCACTTTGGGGGCCGAAGTTGGCAGGGAGCAGGCTCAAGTCGAGGACGGACTGATTGACAAGGACCTGAGTGGCGACGGAGTATCCCCACACTTGACTCGCCTGCGACGTGGGGTGAGCAGGTTGGAGAAGGCAGGGCAAGAGGAAAGAAGTAGGAGCACTGAGATGGTCTGTGCGATGAGGATGCAGTTGAGGAGGCCGGAGGTGAGGATCAGGCGAGGGCCATGATCATGATCATGATCACGAGCAGGAGCAGGAGGAGGAGCAGGAGGAGGAGGAGGAGGAGGAGGAGGAGCAGGAGCAGGAGCAGGAGCAGGAGCAGGAGCAGGAGCGGGGGCGGGGGCGGGGGCGGGAGCGGGAGCACGGTGCAAGTCGTCAAAAGAACTAGCAAGGAACCTTGAGGCTGTTGTCAGTGGCTCCCACAGCGAGGATGTTCTTTGCTGTGGCTGGAGTGCCGATGCTGTACGGATGAGGCCCATCGTTGCCGGCCGCCACGAGCACCAGAAAATCATCATGATCGTGCGTGAATTCATCGATCTCCATCGCCATCGACTCGTACCTGCGGCCAACTTCAGACCCCTCTTCCTCTCTCTGCCTCTACCCAACTCCCCAGGTGCACTCCCATCATAAGAACGCTTTCAATCTTCTGCTCCTGAATCTTTTTATGATGCATGGTTCTGCTCTTTCTCCTTCTTCCCCTCCCCCCCGTCTCCTTCTACTCGTGCTCCTTCTCCGACCTATCTCTTACCCTGCAAACTTCGCTCCCCAGGAGTTGGAGTGAAGCCTGGCTCCGGCATGATACGAGTGGGGAAACAGCCCTGTGTTGAGGTCGTCGGGGATGCCAGGAAGCGCTCCTTTACTGTCTCCGACGTCGTCAAACGCGATCTTCGCTCCCGGCGCCATCCCGTTGTAGGCGCCAGCATAGTTCATCTCGGTCGGGTCAGCGTCGTAGGCGTTTCCTACGCAGGGAGTGAGCATGGAATGCGAGCGAAATAAGGGCGGGCAGACAAGAGTGCGAGGATGCAAGTATGAAGGAAGAAGGGAAGAAAGAGGGAGGAAGGGAGCAAGAGAACACAAACAAAAGGCAGAAGGAGCAGGAGCAGGAGCAGGAGCAAGAGCAGGAGCAGGAGCAGGAGCAGGAGCAGGCGCAGGAGCAGGAGCAGGAACAGCAGTCATTTCTTCACCCTCTCTCGCTTTCTTCACCTGCAACTGAGCCAGCAACGTGTGTTCCGTGTCCGCCATAGTAGTCCTGGTAGTCGGTAGAGGAAAACTTGCGGTAGGTGACTATCTTTCTGTGCCGATAGTTCAAGCAGGAGGGCGTCGCCTGATCGCCTGACCCTGTGCACTTGGCAACCGTTTCAAAAGGGTCGTTGAAGAAGCAATGGTCATAATCGATTCCTGCGAATCTATCAGACAATAGCACTTGGATCGTATTGTGCTGTTTTGGTTTCCTCTCTCCACCTCCCTTTTCTGCCCCCTTCCCTCTTGCTCCAGCTCTCCTCCTCCCCACTCGTCTCCTCCCCACCCTCCTCTCCTCCCCCTTTCTCTCTACTTCTCCTGCAGACTGCATACCCGTGTCTGCTATCCCGATGATCTGGGACGAGCCGTTGATCCCTCGGTTCCAAATGCTCGTCATGTTTGCTCCCTCGCTCTGCAGCGCCTGGACAGCATACCGGTTGCGGAGGAAAACCTCCCTCTTCTTCTCTATCCACCGCACTAGCGGCTTGTGCGCCAGGAACTGACAGACTGTCTTCATGTTCTCCTGCTTCGTCTTCACCAACAATTTCCTCTTCGACACAGTCTTCAAGGTAACGCCGAGGTTCAGATCTTGCATCTCCTGCTCCCAGTCGGACACGAGCTGCACCGTCTGGTAGGACCATTCCGCGTCGCTGATTGCGAGGATCACATACACGGACTGATCTCCTTCATTCTCAGTCTCATCCGCCATCAGCTTCCGTCCCTTGAAGCCAGCCATCCCCCTCCCGTAGTTGACATCTTCGAATAAGGAGAAGCGAATCTCCGGCTCCAACTTGAACACGTCGGGGAGATAGAAGATCCCGGATATGCCGTGCGTGCTCATCAACTGCTGCAACCCTTTCTGGGATGCAGTCACGATGAATGTGTCGTAAGGAACGTATCGTATCGCATCAACCCCCTCCATCTCCCTCAGCTCCTGCAGAAGCCCTCTCCTCACTGGGTTCTCAGTCCTCACGATGTACTGCTGGTAGTCCAACAAGATCCTCTCCCCGTAGAACTTGGACGAGTTCTTGAGCGAAGAGTCCCTCCAGGAGGCCTTGGGCCCCAATGACGCCCTCGTTAGCAGGGTATTCTTGCCTCCATGGATGAGGAGCGGACGGCCCTTTAATTGATGCAGCAGGACCTTCTCGTGTGGCTCCCCAGTGTTGGAAGGCTTCTTCCTCGTCCCTGAAGCCTGGGGATGTATCCTCTTACCGGGGGCCTTGTCGGAGGAAACCGCCACCGCCATGGCCAGGAGGAGGAGGAGCAAGATGTTTCGGGTTTCGAACATGATGATCAGTTGAGCGTGCAAGTCAGAATCTGATCAGAACCGACTCAGAAAGATCGTTATCCCTCAAACACAAGCAAATGCTTCTCACTCTGTGATTACTCAAACACAAGCAAATGCTTCTCACTCTGCGATTACACAGGGACAAGCGCCATCATCTCTACATATGTACTTTTCTCTGTCCTGTTGCATCTAACTTTCCTCCCTTCAACCTCCATGGCCTATCAGCTGTCTGCCTTCCCATCGCATGCTACGTTTCTCCTTTCCTGAGCGTTTGAGTAGTGAGCATTTACCTTCCAGTTTTAGTTGAGAGGTGTACCGCTGTCTCTCGGTTTTATCTCACCTATCACCGCTGGTCAATCTTTTTTTCAGTCGCTCTCTCTCTCAGTGAGTATGTCCGTCACTTCCCCACTGTGGCGCCGGTAGCCTGCAGTGAATCCATTCAAGGCCGACTGGCAGAGTATGCAGCCGCTGAGCCAGTGAGCCGAAGCCTCAACCTGCCCCGAGGTGATTCGTTGCTTCGGAACCCGCCAACTTAACTATATCAGCCACGAGCTCAGTTTGGAAGGACGCCGTCCGAGTCACTCACTGAAGCACGACCTTGAAGGTCACTTGCCCAAGGTACTCAGCTGAAGCTAGATCGACTTGGCCCTCAGGTACTAGGCGGACTCCGGGAGTCCTCATAGCATGCCAAGGACTTGTGGTTGTTGATCGCCGCCGTTCTCTCGACTCGTGGCAGGTCTTCTCTTAACCGCAGCACCTTAGCGATAACTTGCCGCTCCGTGTTGCCACAGGCGCTTGATCCCCGGCGGGGGCCCGGCACGTTTTACATCAAATGAGTTTTATTTCAAACGAGGTACAAAACCGGTACTGATATTGAAATTAACTTTGAGTAAAGTTGTATTGAAATATTTAGCCATCGGGTAGTTACACCCAGTCCGAAGAAATGAGTAATACACTTGGTCACATGAGGGTTTACACCTATGGAACGATGACCAGTGGATTCTGTAGTAAACTCAAAGGAGTCGTACCGCGTGACCTGCTGACCGAGAAGGATATGCATGGCCCCCGATTCTAAAACATGAATAGAACACCTCCACTCTGATCCCGCAGCAGACACCACACCATGAGAATGCACACCAGCCAGAGCCTCCAAGACCTCCCCACCATCCAGGCTGACTTCAGCGCCCTCCTCGTCCATGACCATGACGACGAGAGCGAGCTGAGCTCACAGCAGAGCCTGGCCTCTCCGCTCTCTCCCCTGCCAGCGAGCAGGCGCAGCAAGGAGCTCGACACGGCCGAGTCCTACGAGGCGAGGCGCATGCAGGCGCTGGAGAGGATGCCGAGCCGACAGAGGCAGCTCCAGGCACTGGAGCACTGCATCCGGCTGCTCACCTCACCGGAGCGACCCGTGATCACGAGCGCGACGGGCCAGCGGATGCAGCTATGAGGGGGAGGAGGGAGAGAAGAGGGGCGATGAGGGAGGGATAAGAAGGGATGTACGATAGGGAGGGGGGGACCGCTTGTATAATAAACGGCATGGAAGAAAGAGAGAGATCTGGCTGACGCTGTATTGTTGGTTGGATCCTTCAAGTTCTCTTGTACGCCTTCTTCAGTCGGGAGCATCAAGGCAGTGACCGCCTGCTCTTGCTTTGATCGGGCGAGTGCGAGCATGCCATTGACAAGCGAGAAATCACGTCACTACGTCACTACGACTGCCCACGCGGCCAAGGATGCCACTAACACTCATTAGCCGTGCTGTCCAAATCTCATGACTCAGCTTCAGCTGTCTCCACCCATCATGCACCTCAAGGGAGCTCTCTGCAAGATAGCTTCTTCCTTGGGCGAGCATGCTCACTCAACACAGTCGGGCCTCATGACCCTCCACGAGATCTTCCGAGCGCGGGGATCAGATGCGTCCGTCGGACAGAGAGAGAGCTAACCCCCATCCGCATTCCCACT